AACTTCGTACCCCAATTACTCCATTCCTTGCCAAACTCCACTGACTCCCTGTCAGAGCGGATCGACTTCAAGATCCTCACTCTAGTGGTTAAATCCCTTCATTCCTTGGCACCGCCCTATCTCTTAACCTCCTCTCTCCCCACAGCAGTACCCGCTGCCTCTGCTCTACTGGGTCTGGTCTCCTCCATGTCCCCCGAATCCTCTGCTCCACCATCAGAGGCCATGCCTTCAGCTACTACGCCCCGAAACTTCGGAACTCCCTTCCTCAAGCCCTTCGCCTCACCCCCTCCTTCCCTATCTTCAGGTCCCGCCTGAAGACCTTCCTCTTTGACTGCGTCTAGTCATGTTCCTCCTTCCCCTGGCTCAGCCTCGGGCACCGCCATTGTTAAGTGCTCTGAGACTCTGCCCGACGTGGAGGGTGCTATATAAATGCAAATAGTTGTTGGTGTAGTTGTAATGAATTGGTAAAAGTCTGGTTTAATAAACTCTTACAAAGCAAGTAATTTGGAAGTATTTAGACTTAATTCATATTGCTACCTTTTTTCTGCATAATATTGTACAAGTCAAGTTAACTTTGCAATATAGCCAAAAATACATTTGCATTTGCAGTTGTTTCAAAATTGTTTTAGAACTGCAGTTTGTATTCATTTAACACAAATATTCACTTAGGTAGCACTGCCGCTCAGCAGTTTAACAAAGTGCTGAAGATGGTTATTTGGATAATCCAGTGCTTTAGTTGAGTCCTGTTGTACAATATAAAAGCATGTCGCTTTAATGCCATAACTGGTTGGTTTGGATTATTTGGATAACAAAATGCCCACAAATTACAAGTATTCATAGTGTGGAATACTCCAAATGATCGTGAGGGGATAAAACGAATCAATACCATCAATGACTTCAATGGTTACAGAATATAGAAAATTACAGAATGCTGCAGTGCAGTATAATGGGCAGAGTACATTTTAACTACAGTATCTGCACATTAGCTGTAAACTGAAATTATAAAACATGACTGAGCAGCTGCAGCATCATCAAACTAACAGTATGCTAATTAATTCACGGAGGAGAGCTAAAGGTCAACTTTGTCAATCTTTTAACCTTTCCTCACTTTGGCACAGAACCACACAGTACATTAATTCAATTGCTGACCAGAACATCACATTCACTTGTATCATGCAATTCTGAAGAATAGTTTCACCCTGCAGCTAGTTGATAATTCATACAAATGAAAGTAAACAGTTCACATGTGAGTCAGCATTCTTCCATTATGAATGCATGACATCCATTTGTTCACAAAAAATGCACTTTACAGTATATTCTGAAGCTTTTTGAGGCGTCTCAAAGACGTGATAAGACACCAAACCAAATAATAATAATAATCCTTGCATTTGATATAGCGCTTTTCACGTCGGGAGGACGTCCCAAAGCGCTTCACAGAACACACTGTAAAGTGAATTGACTGTATATTTGTGGGCGAACGCGGCAGCCAATTGGTTATTATTTTATTTGCAACACGTATTAGTGAACTCCTGAAGCAGACTAGGCGAGTGCATAGAAGCAATTTCTTTAGTACCTGAAAACAATTATAAAATAGTAATGCATTCGCTACACTCTTTAATTCTCCAAATACCCCCAAAATAACACAATTTAGTTAAAATATACATAAATAATTTCAAAGTTTTCCTGCTGAGTTCATCCATCTTCTCAATGGTTGAGAAAATGTTTCATCCCAAAATGCAAGCATTGGCCTGAACAGAAGCAGCTGAGAAGCTCTTCTCTGGGGGCTGAGCTGCCAGTTCTCAGACATTTCTTCCCTGCATCCCATAGCAAAGACTGAACAAGAAGCTCTCAGCTTCAATCAAGAATAAGCAAATTTAACAACAACAAATTACAATAAGTCTTGAGATGAGCCTTGAAGGAGGCAAGAGATGAACGGAATGTTTATTTTTTTAATAAAATAGACCTAAAACAACAAAATTAACGATAGAGCTGTGTAAATATTATGAGAACTCAATGATAAGGCCATTGTATAGTCTTGTCTTGAATTATTCCAATAAACCTCACAAAAACCTCTCAAAAAGTGACTTTTAAATGTTTGCAGGCCAATCAGTACTTAACCAACTAAAATGTTTTCTTCAAAATGGATATTTTTTTTACTGTTCACACAGAATTGAACACATTCATTAATTTACAAACTATACATGATGTTAAACACTACTTATTTAAACATAAAACACAGCCTAAAGTATTGTTTTAAACACCCATCTTCTATCCCTGACCCCAATATTTCTGCTTATATTAGGCCTTCTTGAACCCTTCTTGTGCATCTGTTCATTGCACTCTCTGTTTAATCTAAAATGACCTATCATCCTCCAAATAATGTTACATTAATTATCCTACTGTCTGTTCCCTACCTATAAACGAAACATTTTAAATTAATCATTATTCCGTGTAACGTTACAAAAATAGTTACACCCTCATGGAAAACAGAGATTTAAGAACTAAAAAATGTATTCTTCAGTATTGTTTCCTTGGAGGAGAAACACACACACAGAAGCCAGGACTGTTAACTGAAATCAGAGGTAGAAAGGGCCCTCACAACCTTGCCTTCCAATCGTTAACATGTCAAACTTATATAGACAGCAATCTGGACAGAAGTGTTCAATATTCGCTCTAGAAATGTAACAGGTTACAGAATTGGACCTCAGTGCTCAAGTGATAATTGTAAGGGCAATTTGGAGCTGAAGTATTCAACTCAGGAAATCCCAATTACAATGCCAGCAAGCAATCCCCATTGATTGACAATGGGAGTGCATCTTTTGACTCAACATCCATGGGCTAAGGAGGGAAGAAAAAAATTAATTCTGCTCCTAACTGCAATCCAACAACTTTCCTGCTGGTTGTAAACAGGCAGAGAACAGTTGTAAACACGATTAGATATTTTACCCATCTCTAGTCACACTGCCTGCTAACGCTCACTATCCAGCTTCGCGTATGAATAACACGTCCATCGAGTGAGGTAACAGAACACCAAACACTCTGAAATTGTACCAAGCAAATGTCAATAGTACCTTGGAGGAGAATTGGTGATGGGGGGGAACGGGACAACTCAATAAAGAGCTACAATATTTTATCTAGTTAACTAACAAATTCAGAGATTTACCTTTGAAATATCAGCCACATTAGAATGATTTTCAACTCAATAAAAGGTGTGAATCTTCTGAAACCTGTGGTTGATTGTGCTGGGGTTAATTAATGCAAGTTATGCTTAAAAAAATGCAAACCTTACCTCTTTACGTTTCTATTGAGGCTGGATCTATTCAAAAGTAAAAGATTAAAGGATATAGGAAGCCAGAGGAAAATACCGTTTCTAAAATGGGCCAAGCATTGACTGATGGTCCGAATGGACATTGAAACCGTCAAGACTTCATTGGGGTGTAAGAAAAATCATGCAGCATAAAAAACAGGAAATTCAAGGCTGACAAAAACAGATTGTACCTCGAAATTACACCTTGTAACATTTAAAACATTTAAAACTGAGATTTCATATTGCTCCTGAATGGCTTGCTGTTGGTCGGAGTTCATATGACCAAAACCACCGTACAAAGCAGGTTCAATGGATCTATCAGTGCCAAGCGAATGAGGGTTGCATACATGAAATGCTGCACAGATTATTAAAGATTAATTAATGATGATCATTTTGTGGTTTGCAAATAGATATCTCCAGCATGCTTTGTAAATGGACTCGTGGAGTCCTGTAGCTCAGTGGTTAGAGCACTCGCTTTGCAAGCGAGAGACCTGAGTTCAATTCCAGGCAGGGCGAAACCTTGGGCAAGTTTCCTTACTCCACACAACCTCATAATAATCCCTCCAAAACAAAAACAATAATAAATTGGTCATTTTCAATCTACGACTGTTTGTGGGACATTGCTGTGCGCAATTGGCTGCCGCGTTCGCCCACAAATATACAGTCAATTCACTTTACAGTGTGTTCTGTGAAGCGCTTTGGGACGTTCTCTGGACGTGAAAAGCGCTATATCAAATGCAAGGATTATTATTATTATTAAATATTGTTATAGTATTCACAAATCATGCCAGTGACATTAGCTGAAAGTCATAAAATCAAAGCTTATTTAATAACTTTCTGCTAAGCAGACATTAGTGGGAGCAATTTTTATCTAAATAGTAATTCAAATACTTGAATGTTCACTAAGTGACAGATATTTTTAAAACATTGCTTAAACCCATAACAAATTTTAAGTTCCAGGAAAACAAACAAAGCAAGGGAAATTGTAATAGCTTCAAAAAGAGGCTTAGTTATATTAATATTTAATACAAACAGAAAATCCAGATGATGTTTTCCCTATTCCTGCAAAAAGAGTTCATCACATATGGAAGTTATGAATGCGCTTTGCTAATTTTAAGTTTGATTTTACACAAACTTATAAACCACAGAGCGCAAAGTAACATGTTTTCGGACTTAAAAGGCTGATGCAATCTCCTCAGGTCTGTACAATCAGTGCCACCATTTTTGTATGAATAAATAGATGCATAGTGGACACTATTCCATCACTCAAGCACACATCACGTTGATGGTCATGTCAGAACATTAATAGTCGTGCTAGATTGGGACTTGGGACTCAAGTCTTACATCCTAACTAAATGCTCAAATTCCATTCTTGTCATTTATGAAACCATCTCAGATTGCACCACAACACTGCAAAATCCTCCCTTAAAGGATTAATATTATTATATTGTAATATACTCCCGCGTAACCCTCCCCCATCATTCCAAAAGGCTTTTTATTCATTGTTAGAGGCTGTAAATGCACCAATCATGGTTTCATTGGGAGCTTGAACAAAAATTGATACTGTTTTGGTAAAGAAAAAGAACACTTACCAGTCCTGCACCTAAACATCTGCATTGCTATTATAATGACAAAAATATGATTGGTTAAAGCAATTTAAAATGAACAAAAAGAAGGTACTGAAGCTTCTCACCCATTAAGGTTGCTAGAAGGCAGAGGGAAGACATTTCAAGATCAATGTGGTCCTGCATTTCCCTAACAACATTTCGACCAGAAGCTTCAGGTTCGTCACTTTTCCAGGAATGGACTGCAGATGTAGAAGCAGCTAGTACAACTTCCTCCTTATTATCTTTCAGAATCTCCACAGAAACTCGATCACCATGCTGCAATGGCAAAGCCTCATTCTCCCGTCCCTCTTTAGGAGGATGAAGCTCCTTTGGAGGAAAGCCATAGCGTATGCACTGTAAATGCAGAGGGAGGTTAAATTCTTTTGCAATGCTTTCTTGGAGTTCAGAAAACTTTACAGATGCTTGTAGGATCAGCGTTGCCTGCCTCCCATCATTAGTGGTTACTCTGATTTTCTTTTCCTTGGTGGGTGATGGGGAGTAAGAAGATTTTGTGGGAGTGGCTGGGGCCGATGATGGACCATCTTTAATAATTCCAGGAGAAGATGGTTGGCTTGATCCTTTCTGTTCTTGTCGCAATTTGTCTGTTTTCCGCTTCTGCATAATAGCCGCGTGGTCAGTTATATTTTGCTGAATACTTCGTTCTATTTTACTCATGGTCAACTCTTCTTTATGCAAGGTCTTTGATTTCTGACCCATTAAAATTATCTTGCTCGGCTGATGTGCATCTGCAGTTTGTTCATCTTGGAAGTCACTGATTCTACGACCGTGTGCCCCTTCAACAGTGACTGGAGTATAATCATCAGGATTCTTTTTGGCAGTGTGATGAAGTATGGTATTAACAACTTTCTGAATCAGGATTTCACTTCCAAATTCACCGGGAAAATGCTTGGTGACCAGCTTCATTGCAACATCATAGACGTTGCTATTTAGGGGCAGTTCACTTTCATACTGAAACCAATAAACAGTTTCTCGCACCACCCTGCCATTCCATTCCAAAGTAATCGGGAAAGCTTCAGGTAGACTATCATATTCCTTCCCTTCCCAATAATGCTTGTAACCACAACCACATTTGCCTCCAGCAGATCTGGTGTTAGTTCGATCTCCATCTAAATAAACCACAGAACTGTCCCTTCTCACATGGCGCATGGAGGTACCATGACACCAGCTGCAGGATGTTAAATGGCTCAGACTATAGTCTGGAACTAATATATCCCTTTTAGAGTCAAATGAGCACACCAAATTGTTAATTGGAAAGCTGTAATTTTTGTCAGGCCTCAGTTGACCATGGGTGCTGGTAGCTAAATTGTATAACTTTCCTCCTGGACTTAACCATTCAGAAGGCACATGAAGCTCAGAAAGAGCACCACAAGTCAAACATCTGTGCAAGCGGTTTTCAAGCACAGCCTTCTTTGCACTTTCAGTAACCTCCTCTGGCTGTATTCCAATAACGCCTGTCCTTCTATAGACATACTGATGCATATCTGCTACCAGGGAAGGGTGAATGTCATGCTTCTTCAGGAAAACATCTTCCATTGCAGAAACTAGCCTCTGCAAGTACTTGTCCTGCAAACTACGGTCACCTCCAAGTAAACAACTCCCATCTTCAAACTGTATATATTTTCTAATAAGCTCTTGTGGGACACCCCAGGCTTTAGGCAACAGTTTCAAAGGAAGTCTAGGCAAAGGACCCCCTTTTATTCCAACCATAGGTATGTAATGGTTGCGTCCTGAACTGCTCCATGCAATGCATATAGGCTTATTAAACTGTCCATCCTTTCCCCTACAATTTTCTTCAACAACTAAACCAGGAAGAAAAGTAGCTGAGTAATCACCACAGCTTCTCATTCCACTTAGTGAATCTAGCAAAATGACTGGCCGACGCAACACATTGGCCAACCCAAATATATGAATATTTCGTAGGCCTAAAGGTACTCCTTCAGGGGGGATGAACAAGGGGTCACACTCATTAATGATATCCTCCCATTCTGCTGCATCAATGAAATCATGGAATAACGCCTTGTAACGCTCCAAGTTCATTTTGAAATGCTGCTTGAGGTTTTCACGCAAAGCATGCCAGAAAAGCTCTCGGCCCACCAGAGCCCTGGAGACGGCATGAACCAAACAATGTCCATCGCCATCGACGTGGACAGGTATCAAGCATTCGTGATCGTCATTCGCCTTCTTGATCTCCTCCAATGTGTCGTGAAGGTACAACAGACTCCCTGAGCGATCCTTCCCGTATCCTACAGTCGCAATGTGCTCCGGCTCAATGAGGAAAGCCCTGTCGCCCAGCAAGGCGCAGTCAAATATCTCCCCTTGGTTCATCTCCCTTAGGAGTTTGGCCCTCCCGGTCTGCTTATCCATGCCATACCTGGTCAGGATGGGGGACAGCAGCTTGCAGTGGTAATTCGACAGCCCCATCACCTTCACCATCTCGGTGCCCTTCTTGGGAGCGGTGACTCCCAGCAGAGCATTCCTCAGCAGGTTGTGGAGCACCACGTCGGGGTCGGTGACTTCCTCCACACTGAGCAGGTTCCTTTGTTCGTGGCGCTGACCGCACTCGGTGCACTCGATACTGACTCCATAGGCTGGAAAAAACAGGCGAGCCTGGCATTTGGGATCCGGACACGTACCGGACAGAATACGTTTGTCTTTTTTCTTTGATCCCTGCAACATCGTCTCATTGGTTTCTCGGCGTCTTTTATACGTAAACCCCCCCCCCCCCGACCCGCCCTCCGCACCCCCACTCCTCGAAGCCCCCTCTCCTTTGACAAATTCGGTGAAATCGGTTGTCGCCGTCTCTCTCTCTCTCTCTCTCTGTGTTTTTTTGTGTGTGTGTACGGTCACGGCTCACGGTGTCAGAGAGAGAGAGATAGAGAGAGAGAGAGAGAGAGAGCCGCCGCCTGCGGTCGGTGAGCGATGGTCCTGTCGAGAGCTGCGGAACACGGAAGTGCTTCTCTTCACTTTCCTTTTCTCCCCTTTCCCACTCCGGCAGTTTCCGTTATCGAACGAAACGAAACTGACCTCGTACCGCGGGCGGGAGGCAAACAGCCACCCAGCGAGAGAGAGAGAGAGAGGAGGCAGCAGCAGAGGGAGGGAGGGAGGGAGGGCCGACCCCCGGGGACGGAGGAGGAAGCGGAGGCGAGGCCTTCTACGCATGCGCCGCAGCGCTGGGAGTCGTAGTTCGGGATCGGAACCGGGCGCCGTTGGTCTCGCGGACCGAGCGAAGCCGCCGCCGGAGCGGGCGGGCGGGGCGGGGCGTGTGTCGTGTGGGGAGTCAAGAGGAGGAATGTGCGCCTGCGCCGCCGGAACGGCCGGTGTGTGTTTGTGTGCGGAGTGAGCGGGGACGTCCCTCTGCGCCTGCGCTGCCGGGCGGCCGCCGTTGGTCGCGCGATCTTTCGAACGGCGACTCCAGTGAACTCGCGCGCAGTTGAGCCGCCGGGAAGAGCGAGAGAGAGAGAAGAGAGAGAGAGAGAGGTGACGATAATGATAATCGTGTTTCTGACTTTTTTTTTGTGTGTGTGTGTATGTGTGTGTGTTGGCTCTCGCGCGTTAGTTCATTATTCTGGTCAAGTGTATTAAACCACAACTTTTGCTCTCTGTCTGTCCAGGTCCATTTCGCAGCGTTATGTTTCTCTCTGCCACCCTTCGGCCCAACCGTCGCCGTCGCCGCCGTCCCCCCTCCCATACCGCCCCGGCCCTGCCCCCCACCCCCGGCCCGCGCCCGCGCCCTCGTCAGCATTCAACCCGCCGGGATTATTGTCTCTTCGAAAGCACGTGAGTGGCGCACAGCGCGAGCCGTCGGGGTCAGGGTGGCGCACTGCGCGGGGACCGTTCCCGTGCGACGACGTCAGGGCGGTAACGGCGAGCTGCTCCCGGTTGCCATGGAGACAGCGGTGATGTGGCCGCCGTTTGATGACGTCGCGCGCAGCGTCGTCCTGCTCGACCTGGGAAGGTGACGACGGAGTGAGTAAAACGACGACAACTTGCACTTATGCAGCGCGCTTCAGGCCGGACGGCGCCTCGGAGCGATGAGATATCGTTGGGCTCGTGTGTGTGTGTGTGTGTGTATGTGTTTTTTGGGGGTAAGGGCAAATGGTGGAGCAGGGGTGGGGTTCATGGCTCGGCGACAAAACAAAAACGAAATCTTTTGGGCAAGTTCAGCAATAATACTGCAATAGTCTTTGCATCTAATATTGTGCCCCCGTTCTCCGGAACTCCATCTCAAGGGTCCCTGTGACTTGCCCCTTCCCGCGCCTTCGACAGCCATGTCAGGACCTTCCTCTTTGACCGTGCCTTCGCTCAGCTCCCCCGCCCGGCTCCCACCCCGAGGCTTTGGATGCAAAGCCTGTACCGTCCAGCGCAGCATGAACGGGACTACTTAAATTGGCTGTAACATTGAAATGTTTTCCCAAGTGCTTCGCAGGTAACACAATTAAATTTATTGGCTGTGTAATAATAATAATAATCCTCGCATTTGATATAGCGCTTTTCACGTCTTCTCGACGTCTCAAAGCGCTTCACAGAATATGCTGTAAAGTGAATTGACTGTATATTTGTGGGCGAACGCGGCAGCCAATTGCGCACAGCAATGTCCCACAAACAGTCGTGGATTGAAAATTTATTATTGTTTTTGTTTTGGAGGGATTATTATCAGGCTGTGTGGAGTAAGGAAACTTGCCCAAGGTTTCGCCCTCTGCCTGGAATTGAACCCAGGTGTCTCGCTTCTATGGGAACAACAACAACAAAATTACATTTGTAAAGCGCCATTCACGTTGGGAGGACGTCCCACGGCACTGGACAGAGTTACAGACCCGAACTGAGGGTTGGGGTGGTGGAGGGCGGGAGGAAAGCAGGAAGATCGAAAGCACGGTCGAAGAGGAGGGTCTTGAAGGTGGCAAGGGACAGGGCAAGGCAGAGGGGCTGCAGGATGGAGTTTCATAGGGTGGGGGCAGAGTGGCGGAAGGCCCGCCACTAGTAAGGCAGGGGACGTAAACCAGGCCAAAACTCACTGAACGGAGGGAGCGAACAGGATTGGTACTGCCTACCACCACCTCTGCAATATTGCCAGACTCCCCCACTGCTTCACCCATCAGGATGCTGAAACCCTACCCATACATTCGTCACCTCAAGGCTTAGTTACGGGAACTCCCTCCTCATCGGCCTTCCCAACTCTTTCCTTCACAAGCTGCAGATCATCCAAAACACTGCAGCTCATGTACTCTCACGCACCAGGCTCCATGACCCCATCACTCCCACCCTTCCCCATCCCCCAGAGGATTGAGTTCAAGATCCTCGTCCTCACCTTTAAGGCCATCCATGGCCTTGCCCCCTCCTACCCTCTGACCTGCTGACTCCCTACGAGCCTGTCTGCTCCCTCCGTTCATCGGGCTCCACCCTGCTCCATGTCTCCCGCCAGACCCGCCCAACATCAGTGGCTGGGTTTTCAACTTCTCTGCCGCCACACTCTGGAACGCAATCCCAGGGTCCCTTCGCATCGCTTCCTCCCTTGCCTCCTTCAAGGTTAGTCTCAAGAACTTTCTCTTCGACCGTGCCTTTGGTCTCCCTCCCACCTCTCTGCCTTCCCTCACCCCTACACCACCCCCCCTCCCGCAAGCTCGGGCCCCAACACCTGACTATTCAGCGCTTTGGGACGTCCTCCCGACGTGAAAGGCGCTCTATAAATGTAATTTTGTTGTTGTTGTAGGAAGTTAGGAGCTTGCAGATGTAGGGGGGAGCAAGACCGTGGAGGGCTTTAAAAGTGAAGACCAGGATCTTGAACTGTATCCTCTGTGTGATGGGAAGCCAGTGGAGTTGGGCAAGGATGGGGGTGGTAGGGTCGCGGAGCCCAGTGTGGGAGAGGACACGGGCTGCAGAGTTCTGGATGATTTGCAGCCTGTGGAGGGAGGAGTTGGGGAGGCTGACAAGCAATGAGTTTGCATAGTTGAGCCTCGATGTAATGAAAGCATGTATGACGGTTTTGGCGGCCTGCGGTGTGAGGAAGAGTGGTTATTGAGTGTGTCAGCTTAGTTCAGTTGCTAGCACTCTTGGTTCCGGGTCCAAGATTGTGGGTTCAAGCTCCATGCTGAGACTTTCAACTCACAGTCTGACACTCCAAAATAGTGTTGGTGGAGCCTCCACTGCATTGTTATGGGTGATGTCCTGCAACAGAATGAGATGTTAAACCAAGATCCTGTCTTCCCATTCAGTGGATGTTAAGTGCTCCATGATGCGATCGCGTGAAGGTGCTATATAAATACAAATCCATGGCATTATTCAAAAAGAGAAGGGAGTTAAAATAATTCTTCCAGTGTCCTGGCAGACAATATACCCAGCTAGAATTGATTGTTTATTTCATACACGTTTATGGGATATTGCTGTGTGCAAATTGGCTGCCACGTTCACTTACAAAATTCACAGTCACTAACCTCAACAGTAAAATATGTGAAGGACTTTGAGATGTTTCAATTATGTGATAGGACGCTATACCAAGTACAAGGAGTCCTGCAGCTTAATAATAATAATAATCCTTGCATTTGATATAGCGCTTTTCACGTCGGGAGGACGTCCCAAAGTGCTTCACGGAACACACTGTAAAGTGAATTGACTGTATATTTATGGGCGAACGCGGCAGCCAATTGCGCACAGCAATGTCCCACAAACAGTCGTAGATTGAAAATGACCAATTTAATTATTGTTTTTGGTTTGATTATTATTAGGCTCTGTGTGGAGTAAGGAAACTTGCCCAAGGTTTCGCCCTCTGCCTGGAATTGAACTCAGGTCTCTCACTTGCAAAGCGAGTGCTCTAACCACTGAGCTACAGGACTCCTTAGTAGTTAGAGCACTCGTATCACAAGCGAGAAGACCTAGGTTTGATTCCCGGCAAGATGAAATATTGGGCAACAAACAACAACAACGGAATTACATTTATAGAGTTTCCTTACTCCACGCCTCTGTTTACCTAGCAGTAAGTAGGAACCTGGATCGCTTTTCCAGGGGTAATAATTCCTGCAAAAAAATAATAATGTGGTCACTCATTCCACGACTGTGGGAAACTGCTGTGCGTAATTGGCTGCCACATTTTGTCCACAAAATATAGAGTCGCTTCACTTTACAGTATATTCTGTGAAGCGCTTTGAGACGCCTCAAAGGCATGCTAAGGTGCTATATCAAATGCAAGGATTATTATTATTATAATTATATGGACCAAATACTTGAGCTCTTTTTCTCCTATTTTGCACTTTTCTCCAGTTTTAAGTTCTCTTTTGGACATTTCCATAACACCCTTTAAACATTCATCATATTCTTTTCTGGTGCTTCTAAATATTAATGTCAATATAAAATATACTGTCAATTCACTTTACAGCATATTCTGAAGCGCTTTGAGACGTCTTGAAGATGTGATAAAGTGCTATATCAAATGCAAGGATTATTATTATCCAATACACTAGTAGAGCAGGATTGGCCTCCTCTTGTTCCTATATTCCTGTGAGCTGTCCTTCAGCTGAAGTGAAATTGAAGAATTAAGATCCAAAATACTGTATGAATTGAAGTATCCTAACCAGGTTTGATTTCTCCACTGTGTTGATTTTCCAATCTTGGCTGTGTTGTAGAGAGGCGGTACTGAATGAAGACCAGTTGCTTTTCCACAGGGAGGAAAAGGAACCAAGCAAGAATCATCATAATCAAAATATTCTTGTATTGGTTTGTGGGCAGTTTGAGGAAG